TTTAAGCAAGATAACTGGGCATAGATATATTTTAACCCATATTATTAAAAGCCTTTTTTTTTTGCACAAAAAATTTACTCAAAAGGGCAACCACTGTTGCCTAAAGGACAGTGCCCTCCATGGAACTCGGGACTCCTGGGCTGCATCTACATGTGCACTTTAATGCACAGTAGCCTATTTTACTGCGCATTAAAGTATCACGTAAAAAACTGTGCTATTATGCTTATGCACAGTAAAACAGGCTACTCTGCATTGTGTCACTTAAAAACTGTGCTCATTTGTTACTGTGCATTAAGGCAGCCTAATGTGCATTTGTTTAGTACCTCACATTGGAGGTACTAAATTTAATGTGCATTAGGAAAAGTGCCTTAATGCATGTGTAGATGCATCCCTGGTTTCTAGTTCCTGCTTGATTACTAGCCTTCTTGGTATCTGTGAGCAAGTGAATTCACCTTCCAGTTTCCCCACTTAAAATGGGGATAAGCACATGGACCTCCTTTGTAAAGTGTTTTGAGAACCGGTGGCAAGAAGTGGTATAAGAGTAAACACTGTATTATTATTTATTTATTGTTACTAAAAGCATAAAGTGTATGAAAAAGATTAATGATATGAAGAGAAATACAACTAAAGACTAGTCTATTATATGGTTGTACATTATGTGCTTTCTATTTAACACAATTATAAAGATACAATTAAGAAGTCAGCTGTCTCAGAAAGAGGTCTCTAGCAGCCATTCTAAGGAGTGCTTCCCACAAGTCTCAAGTTACTTGCCTATTTTCATGCCTTATGGAGTTATCTGGCAGAGGATTATTTTTCACTTAGTACCAAAATTGTAACTTTTGTTTGGATTCTTCCATTCTGCCTAGGCTGAACGTGTGTTTTTATTCAACAAAATGATATGGCAAGATACCACATTTCTTGATGGTTAATAAGTTCTATTTACTTTTTTAACGATAGGAAACAAGGTGAAAGGGCCAAATTCTGTTCGTCGTTGATCAGAGCTCTAAGAAATCAGCCTGCATCTTGAGGCAGAATTTAGCCAACTCTTTGGGAAAAATGCCTGTGTGAAATTACATGCTGCTTTATTCTTGTTTTCTTTTTTTCCCCCCTGATATTGAAATGCCTTACATTTTCTTAAGACAAGTTTAAGATTTTCCACGCATGCCTGCATAGTAATACATGGTCAAAATTTTAACTCTTAAGGTATAAAACAGATATTGATGTAGCTGATTGTTTCTGAGTACAGAGCGTTTCTGCACTGACTACTACAATGGAAATTATTGTGAAGGTCTGGATGTTTGCTGCCTAAACGTCTCCCTATGTTAAGGAAGCTGATCTAAAACTACTAGCGTATCTGGCAAATGAATTTTACAAAATAGGAGGTGTCATGGCAAATATTCAAAAACAGGTCAATAGCAGACACAAGCTTTTGAGTTTCTCATTCTAGTTGTTTTTGGAGGGATACCATATAATATCCACTTCAACAGGTAAAAAATGTCAGTGCTCAAGAGCTTTCTTCTATTCTCTGAAGTAATACATTTCCTCAAATTATTTAAAGAAAAGCAGATGTAATACAGAAGCTCAGCAAAGGCAACCTTTTAGAGCTTGTGTAAGACTTTCCTTTCCTAAATAAGATATGGCACAATGGACTTTCTTCTCTCCTGAGCTTTGAATAGCCCAATGTCGTTCTTACAAGTGCTACATTATTTCTAGTAAAAACAACAGAAGCTTTAGTAAAAATTATCCACGGTACAAGTAATAATTCCTTGACAAATAAAAATCATGTAAAGCCAACACAGACATTCTGTTTCAGAAGGACAACAGGTGAATGCCCACACTCCACTAGCCTTCTAGGACAGTCTCATCTGAAAACTTGATCAAGGATTACTTAATATGATTGCAGTGGAAAATACTTATATTTGAAGCAAATTTACCATATGTAAAACATCTGGTATAACAGGGTTTTATATAGTGTATATACACACACACACACACACACACACACATATATATACACACACGTGTGAGAGAGATTCAACATTCAGCAGTACAGTATATACTAACCCAAATATTTTTTTTCATAGAAATGTATATATGAACAGTATGACTTAGCAGAGCATGTATCATGATACATCCTAATGTTATTTCTATCCTACAGATCAGTTGTTAATTCAGTGCTCTGGATCAAATCTTGCCTTTAAGTAGCTGTGTTGGAGCAGTGGCTGGCAATCTGTTAACGCCTTTTAAGACCCAGTTAGGTTCAGACATGGGTAGGTAGGCACTAGGACCCAGTCATCACTTCTGCTTGTCCCTGCCCCAGAAAAGGGGAAAACACCCACTGCTAACACTTCTCTCTGGTCCAACATGGGAAAAGTACCTGTTGCCGCTGCTTTTCCCTGCACTCAAAGCCAACACAGGAAAGGTACCCACCACTAGCATGAGGAAGGCACCTGCCAGTTTTACACTGGTATAACTCCATGTGTTTAAAAATACCACTTTAAAGGCCCAGGAAAAGTATATACCACAAATCAAAAAGGGTAGCAACTAGACTAATAAAATCCCTGCATGGTTTAATAGCAGTTAAAGAGGCCATTCAAGGCAATAAGGCATTCTTCAAAAAAAGATGTAAGACATGCCCAAATGAGCAAAATAAGAAATGTCACAAACTCTGGCAGGTAAAGTGTAAATGCTAAATAAGGCAAGCAACAAAAGAATTTGAGAAGCATCTAGCAAAAGATGCTAAAGTTAATAATACAAACTTTTTTAAATACCTCAAAAGCAGAAAGCCAGTGAGAGAACTGCTGGGATGATTTGTTGACCAAGGAATAAAAGGTGCATTCTGAATGATAATGCCATAGCAGAGAAGCTAAACTAATTATTTGCACACAGAAGAGGATAAGCACAAGGAGAGAAGGTAGAAAGATGCCAAGGGTCTCAAGAAATGTATACATATCCTTTGCAAGATAAGTTATCACAAGAAGGAAAGAGTTTTGTCCATGAACATCTCAAAATTCACCAGAAAGGTAACCTGTGCCCTTATGATGTGCAGAACCAGTACAAGCAGGTCAGGAATTTTTTCCAAATGGCTAAAAGCCTCAGAGCAGCTGATGGTGATGTCTCTGATCTAGGATAGAAGGGAGAAGAACTTTAATTCCAGAGTAAACTTGGATTTGAATGCTTTCCTGGAACAGCTTAGCAACTATTCAGTGAAGACTCTAAGGAATGTGACTATCCCAAAAGAAAAGTATAACCAGTTCATCACAAACATGAGGCCAAGTTTATTAGAAGGGGGAGATTTGAAGATGGAGGTATATATTCTTTAGACAGACTACATATAGGAGGTCTTCCTTGTACAAAATCTGTAGTATGGACTGAGGGATCCTGAGCTTAGTGTGCTAGAGCAAAGGGTACAGTAACCTCTTTGGTTTGTTGTCCAATTACCTCATATTTTAGTGCCTGATTTTTAAGTCAGGTGGAAGTCAGAGACAAATGTCTCTAAATGAAGAAGGACAATGCCTGGAACATAACTCAATGGCAGAATGTAATATAATTACCCAAAATGTCCCAGGCATGCAGAGGCATGGGCAGGATTTTTGATATAAGGAAAGTTTCTTTCTAGCATGGGAGAGGCTACTGGATGTAGTCAGGTTGTTGAAAGTGTGAAAAGTGCTGCTGGTTTAGACAGCCATGTCTGCAGGAGGAGACAAGCCCAAAGAGAAAGGACAAAGTAGACAAGATACGGTTTTTACTATGGTATAGGTCAGGGCTGTCCAAGTGGCAGCCTGTGCGAGGCTAAGTTGTGGACTCTGGGCTCCGGTCCAGCCACCTCACCCCACCATCACTCCAGCTGCAAAAGCAACCAGTCTCTAGGCTCCCTCTCTCCCGCTGGCTGCTGCTTCCTGCCTCCAACCCAGGGAGGCAGGGCAGGGTGGCAGCACAGGCACGTACAGGTGAAGCTGGTGCCACACGGTGCAGTGGCAGGGAGAGGTAGGAGGGAGAGGTGGTTGCTGGTGCAGCACAACAGCAAGGCACCCACCCACACAAGCACATGGCATAGGAGGGGATAGAGGAGAGGGTATGCATGCAGTGGTGGGAAGTGGGAGGGAGCATTCACAGGGCGTGCAGCCTAGGGGGTCTGTGGCTCACCCTGGTGCAGCCCACAGGGCACACAATTGACACAGGTGCAGCCCATGAGGTGTGTCGTCCCCAGACTCTTAGAAGTTGAACAGCCCAGGTTTAGATCACTAGGGAAATGCAGAGTTCTTACAGCAGCAGAGCAAAAAGAAGGAGCAGGGGTGAGGAAAAGAGAGTTCAAAATAGGCAGCAAAAACCCCTGAGGGGGAACTGAGAAAGCTTCCGATAAAAGGGGAGGCTTGTCCTCCAAGGAGAGGCTGGTTTTTGATGAGTAACTGAACTCTGCAAAGAAAGATACTGGCTTCCTGACTTATCTTATGTTCTTCTCCAATCTTTCATCCTCATATTTGTCACTTCGTTATTTCTCTTGAGAAGGAAAACAAAAAGGAGATCTTGTAGGGTTGCTTTTTCATGCTCCCTGAATGAGAAAGTAAGTAAAGACTGGGTGTGAAGAGACGGGCCATATTTGAATAGGCTTAGTTACTGACAGTCTTCTTTATGTCCTGCTTCCAGGTATGTGAAGTCATGTTAGCGTAACTTACAGTATCTTTCCTACAGAATGAAAAAAGAAGAATAACATACAATCAAAGAAACAATTATAAGCAGAGCTTGACAAACTAATGCCATAAGAAGATGATAAGATACTCTGCTAAGTTAGAAATGAATCTACAAAAGCACTTTCCCAATTTGAAAGAGCTTACTAACATAATAACAACTCATCATTTGGCAAACTAAATGGATTTTAAGGTCCTCTATAATCAAACAGCCTCAGCTCAAACTCAGTAAAATCATGACTTGCTACTACTGAACAGAAAAGACAAAAAGCAGTTTGTAGAAATGAACAGCTTATGCAGTGTTGTGGCATGTCAATGTCTTTTTGTCATACAGGGAAGAAGTTTCAGAATCAATTTGATTGTTTTTCTTCTAACTAGATCACAACGTAAGTTTATTTTTTAAATATATTATTTGTCATATTAAATAAACATACACAAGAGGTATCTCCTAGGACTTTTATGTGAATTATGGGAACGACTATGAGAATACAGTTTCTCTGACAACAGAAGGAAAGTTCAGATGAAAAAATGAGGAACATGATTTTCTATTATAAACCAACACTCTATATGTGCAGCCAGCTTTATTTTCCAGTTGACAGAATTAATCACCATCAAAAGTATATTTCATAAGAGGACTAATCTCATGGCCAAATATGTCAAGGTAAGAATTTTGATAAACATTTAATTCAGTTTTTTGTGTTATTTCTGGCATAGTGCTTTGCTTCATAAAAGTACATCCTTGCCCCACCATAGTAATCATAGTACATTAGTGCATACCTTTGGTAAGAACCTGCTTGGTATTTTCATCATAATCAAAAGCCTATTTAAAAGATTGTTAAGAGCCTCACCTCCTTTGGTTTGCAATGGTATGCTGGGAATGTCAGTCTCTGTGGATAGCTCATTGTTCACACTGATGCCATAAAATGGTTCATCCAAGAAAGGTTTTTTCAGGCTTTTTGTGCTGAGTGCTCTTGACATAAAGTAACCTTCAGCAGTATTCTTATCTGCAATCTCCTGTAGACTTTCTAAGTCATTAGGTTCTTCTGTTTGGACCACCAAATCCTTTGATAAATTACTATCAGCTATTGCTTTGGTGAGACAGAAGCCTGGGGATTCATTCTCTGCACAATTGTGTTCATTTTTGTCCTCAAGTCCAGCATTCTCCTGATCTGCTGACATCCTTACACTATGGGTTTCACCCAACGGATTAGAAAGAGTGGACATTGAGAGAAGGGTAACATCTTGAGTTGTGTAACATGAGAAAAAATTTTCATCAGAAAGCAATTCCTGAGATTTTGACATGGGAACATTGCTTATTGTTCTCTGAGACTGCATACATTCTTCCAGAAGGGTCTTGAGCTGTTCTTCAGAGAGACAAGGTAGCTCTTCAGGCTGGAAAAAAAGGAAACATTTCTTTCTGTCAAAATAAAGAATAAACAATTTAAAAGACACTAAAAAATAACTGGTATCCTTAAACTGCAAGGCCAGGGTTTTGTGGCTAATACTGAGATTAGAAATAATTATACATAATAGTACTATACAAAATCTCTCCACAGAGTGCAAGGAGAATAAGACACTGCAACTTATGAAGAATGTCTGCTGTATAGTGTGCACTGAACAAGAAAGGTGGTTCATTTTACCTAAGATCTCCCACACAATTTAAATTTGTTTCTTAATGATAAAAGCACAAGTCACAAAGTTTAATATTTACTTCTAAGTTTCAGTTATTGAGAGAAAAAGAGTATCTAGCCAAAAGATGCATTGCTGTTTGGCTAATATATTTGGAGAGCTTGCATCATATATCCTCTTCTCAGTCAATTTCTTGCATACACAATAACAAAATGGAGAAAGCTTACATTCATGGGTATTTCTTAAAATCTGATACTAAATATGGAGGAGGTCTTAAGTTAGCCTATTGAAGTATCATAAAAGTGTTATAAGATTATTGGAGGGGACGTTAGTCATAGTTGAGCCAAAGCTTAGTTATAAGCAATGATTTAATTACAGCTGCACTCATTTATGCCAACTAATATCTCCAGCACTGCAGTATTTACCACCTCCATTCTGGGGCGCTGATCTCAACTCTCGGAGAAGACTGTCACCAAACAACAATAGTGCCTACAATACCTGCGTTTGCTCTGCAGGCCACTTCACCCAGCTACTTACTTTAGGTACATGAACTGATGTGATCACAGCCTGAAGAGAGACAGTTGTATGGTTTACAAGGTAAAACTCTTGATTCATGTTTGTGAATGTAAAGAGCTTTCAGTGAGGAGGAAATTAATGCTATTTTGTTAAACATATCTTGCTTATTCAAAATGTCAAATTAATGTTACAAAATCAACGGGATGGACATAATGGGTAGAATTCTATTCCCTTTTGTGTGTCCAAATGGTAGCTTTCTAGTCATGTGAGTGGCATTTTTGTATGCATACACAGTATATGCACATAGGCTGAGAGTGTGCAGTAGGATATGCACTGTCTGGGTACTTATACAACTACGTACACATGCCCAATCTGTGTCTAAGGCTTGGAACAGATGTTACACATAAACTGGTTTAAGTGATCAGAAACTGGTTTAAACCTGTAACAGAACATAAGTTCAGTGCTCACAAACCAGTTTCAAAATGACTGAAACTGGTTTAAGTTAAACCTGGTTGAATGTAGTATCAGACTTAACTGATCTGAGTCAAACCGGTTTATGAAATTTCTGTCCCAGACCCCTTCCTGGTTCAAGTTAAATCTCAGTCCTCCAGCATGCTTTTCAGCCCTAGGCTGGGCTGTGCTGTCTGCTCCAGAGAGCAGGGCTGGCCCTACCCCTCTGCTCCCTAGCTTGAGCAGTGACAGCTGGCTCACTAGCCTCACTTGCTGGCTCACTGGCCACCCCAGGCTCGGATCTGGGGCCAGAGAGGGGGGTTAAACTCACCTTCCCCCAAGTATGGAGCTGCCCTGCCCTGCTAAACTTAGTGCCGGCTGCAACTGTGGACTACAAATCCCAGGAGCACCTGGAAGCAGAAAGAAGAAGTGACAAGCAACCCTGTGGAGTCCTGCTGCTCTGATGCTGGACTGCAAATCCTAGAGACATTGGAGGCAGCAGGAAGAGTAAGCGAATACACCTCCCAGGCTGTGTTTATAGTTTTTTGTTTATAGTTTTTAGTTTATAGTTTTTCAGAGAAAGAACTATTCTTGTTCAAGCTTTTATGAATTCAGTGTTAGTAGAGCTCCCCCAGTCAGAGACAGAGCCCTGGCCTGGGGCCTGGCCACACCCCCTCTCCTCCAGTGTGGAGCGGGGAAAAGCCTTGGAGGGCATTTCTCTTCCCTCCTGTTTAGTGGTGCCTGGCAGGCATGCTCTAGCACTCTCTGGATTCTGGTTTGAGCCACTGCAGGCATGTGGCTGCATTTCCTGAATCAAAAGTAAATGTGTATGTTCATTTGCTTATCATTTCAAATTGCTACAGCTTAGACTAACCTGCAAAGACTGAATCAATTCATCCTTGGGCTGTTAGACTGTCTGTACTTAGCCAGATCATGAAACTGTAGGAAAATCTTGACTAGTAGCGAGCGGGGAGGCGGCGGAGGACAAGGAGGGCCCCCCCCTATGTAGGAGTAGGGGCTTCCCTTGCATTTAACAGTCATTGGATAAAATGAATTCAGAGCAGTGCAATGGGGTAGTTTCTGCCCTGCTGGAAGCAAAGACATATCTACCACTTGTGTCTGCTGAGAGGCACCTTCAAAAGGAGCACTGGAATACAGCCTGGGTAATGCCTGACATGTGGTATGGTGGTTAGAGTGGTTTTTATAGGTGGTTTCTCCATGCTGGGAAGTCACAGAGATACAGTGTAAAACCTTCTCTGGGTAAGTGCCCAGACCTGTGTTCTGCATAGTTCCATACTTACTGTACTTACAGGTTAATAATTTACAAAAATTTCCTTATAACCATTCTTTTAGATTACTTGATTTTTGTTGGGACAGGTCTCTTGTACCTACCCTGGTCCCTCAGACCACATCCGAGGGGGAAGGGCAGGAGTGTGTCAACAACTCTACCTCTGTAGAATCTAAAAATATGCACTATACAATAGTGCAGCTCAAGGCAGCATCAGCTCTCCCATGAGCAACTGGTGCCTCCTGAGTCAGGGGAGGTCCTTCCCCCCCCCCACCTCCCAGCAGCCAGTCAGTGACTGGGGGGAGGTCCCCCTGTGGCCGATAACACTGGCCTGGAAGTACCAGCAGCATGCTGCTGGCATTTCCGTGTCGGTGCGATTGCCCACGGGGGGACCCCACCATTCGGTGCAATTGGCTGCAGGGGGACCGCAGGGATCACTTCTCCTGGCCCTCCTAGGCACATGCCCCCCCCCCCCGTACACCCCCTATGCATTGCCACTGAGCTCGCCTCAACTTTATCTGAGGCTGAGAGAGATTTTGGTGGATGGAGAACAAGCAGAACACTTTATGTGGCTCCTCCTCAGTGCCTTCTCTCCTTCCCTCCACTAAGTTTTATGAGGACAAGTCAGGTAAGTATCCCATCACAGTACCCTTTCATGATTTGTTTTACTGATTTTTTTAAAATAATATAAAACTTTAACATTTAAGACAGGCACAAATACTGTAAAGAATTCTATCTATAATAATTCCATGTTACTAACTGTCCTTGAGATGAATTTCCATAAATAGTTGTATATTTTGTAGCTTCTAGATAGGACCACACTAAGTGTAGACAGCTTCCTGAATAACCCTATGTCATTTCTTCATAAATTTGGGGCACACAATCAATACTTAATTCAGATCAAAGCAGCTGTTTTTTGTGTGTCTGTCTAACTATGGAAGACTGGAGAGTCACTTTAGGGATATCAGAAAAAATAGAAAATAAAAACATAACTTACATTGAAACCTATTATATATTTGCAACCAAACGAACACTTAAATACCTATGGCACTATACTGTATCAAAATGTAATAATTGTATTTGTGTCAAAAAGGTTATTTTATTGTTAATTGTAAGCAGTTACAAATCTCAATGGTCAGGATAAACTGTGTGGTCTAAAGCAAGTACTAAAGACTGTAATTCTCCTCAGGTGTCTTTACTCTAGAATACTTACAAAATTGCACTAAGTTACACTAAAGACAAAATATTTACAGAGATACTATTTTAATAACATATAAATGTGCATAATGTGTATTATTCCAAAGATGGAAATGGCATACTGGACAAGGGGAAATGAGCAATGAATTCTGATTCTTATTATGACTGGAAAAGTTCTAGTTGTTCTCACTAATTTTTAATATGAAACTGAGTACTATTTAATCATTAGGCTTTTTACTGCTAATGGTCCAAGAAATGAATTCCTAGCCTGGAGATTGGGATGCCTGCTAATGACCTTTTCAGTAGGATTCTGTTTGTGCATGCAGCTAATGTTTTCTGACCACAAGTTGCCTTTCTGTACCTGAGGATCTTTTGTGTTTAAATGAATTCCTCTGAGGCATCACTCTATAGGAAAAGCTTTACTGCATGTGGTAGGAATGCAAACTTGTAGTTACTCTGTGTACAGACCTACTGTGACTCTGGGGTTACAAGTACAATGCTTCAGGACTATTTTCAAAGTGATACAGTAAAAGAAATAGCCTACCACTGAAAAGTCCATATATTATGTCTCAAGACAGGGAGAGAGATAATATATCAAAACTGGGAGATTCTAAATAGAGTAAAAGACAGCCATATATCACTTGCAATAAACAAGAAAGCAGGCTTCAATATTTTTCAAATATAGAGTATGACTAGAGAGAAGAGGGAATTAGCCTCTCTGCTTTGTGATATTTGATTTGGACAGGGTGACAGTAAACTGTTATGTCTATGCCTCTATTTGTTTGAAATTATCACTTTGATTCATTAAAGTTCCCATGGATGTATTTAACTGCAGTGAATGTCAAATGTATGGTTGTAATCTCTGAAATAACCTTTTCCCTTCCTGCT